GTTATTTGTCTCTTATAATAAGAGACGGGGAGAGTAATACTTATACATACTGATGGAGCGTGGATGAGTGAGTGGGGCTATTTATTTTATTTATGTTACATATGGATGGATCACGAGGCCTACATTACTTAAATAGGAGAAAGAATATTAAAATGAGTGTGGCTGGGGAGGATGATGTGAACAGCACAACAAAAGCGATGCTTTGAAGACAGAAAGAAATAAAAGGATAATATAGGTGAGAGGCTCCAAACTCACCCACCTTCTTGATTGTGATCTCTTCTCTTCCATTTTTTTCTTCTACTCATCAACTTTCTTCCCCACTCTTCCTCTCTCTCTCTCTCCCCCCATCAACCCCTTTACTTGTGTATGTGTAGAGAGAGAGAGAGATAAGTCGTCTACGTAAGACGCGTGCTAGGGAGGACACCCACAAGAGAAGAACGCAATAATAGTTTTTTGAAATATTGAAGAAAGCCCAAGTTGTAGAATGCAGAATGTGATCATTACTAATATTATTATTAATATGGTCCCCATTCAATTCTAAAAAAGATGACATCTTTGAGATTGTGTTTTCGTTTCTTTGTGGCCTATTATTTTCCCCACTCAAAGATTCTCAAAAAGTTCGTGTAACCTGAACCAAAAAAATAAAACTATTCTCACTTTTCATCCCAAAAGTTCACGGCCTAAAGGGCCGACAAAATTTTGAACAAAACAACATAATAACTTGGTTCCCACATCGGAAAAGGCAAAGGTACATAGTGCAACTCATATGCCTTTCTATTCGATGATCATTGTACCATCCACGTCCCACGTGCACACCTGTGACTCAGCACCATGACATGTGTGAAAGAAAAGCCTTTTACAATCATAAAATTATGTGTTGCTCGTGATTCTATTTATGACTGCACCACTTGTTCATTTTTCTTCTTGCTTTTTTTTTTTTTTTAACAATGGATATTAATTTTCCTGGTTTGGTGTTGTACTGTTGTTAAATAGTTCAGGAAAATAAGTGGAAACTGTTTAGGAAAAGATTACCGCTTGAAGGTGATAAATTTGGTCCTTCTTTTCTGCGTCAAACCTTGGGCTTAGTTTTGGGCCTGGCCTGTCATAACAAGCGCAACCAATGCAGCCCAGTTTGTGTGTGCGCCCATTCAACTGCCAGATGTAACTTTACGTTGAAAAAAAAATTGCCTCATATAATTTATTGGGATGATAAAATTCCCTTACGTGTGACTCTATTGGTTTGTTCCCTCAATTTTTATTTTTATCAATTCAGTCCTTTATGTTTCATGAAGTTATTATGTTAGTCCTCGTGAGGGACTGTTGTTGATAAATTCTGAAATGTCAACAACCAGTTGCTAAGTTATAACAAAATTGCCAACAAAGTCTCTGAAATGTCGATAATTTGTTCCTCTAGTTGATAATACGTTAACTTCATGAATCTTAAAGGACTAAATTAATAAAAATAAAACTCTGAGGGAACATATCGATATTTGAGCCTAAACAAAACAATGAAAAAAAAAAAATATGGATCTTATTGAGGACAAGAATAATTTATTCTATCAGAAATTCAAACATAGATATTATTGTCCAAAATCAAAAACAGTGATCTCAAGGCATAACCCGTAGTCACCTGAGACCAATTCATCACGACAAAATGAAAAAAATACAGAAATGGTCGGGGCTAAAAATGGCAATATCAACCGCCTAAAACATTATTTCCAGTGGCAGTAAAAAACTAAAAATTGCCTCGTGTGGTAAGGGTGGCCTAAGGTGTGGAAAACAAACTATTGGCGAGGGTTGAAAGAAGTAAATGGAGGGCTATTAGAAGTGTTGTTCATGCATGGGACAGGAGAGCCATCACCAACTTGGAGAATCTCTGGAATTTCCAGTTCTGGATTGCTTTGGAGATTATATTCAAAGTTTAACAGGCTCGCATGAAATCTAGAAGCAGCTGGAGTGATCAAATTACTAGGTTGTCTTCTCCTTGATGAACCACGCAATGGAGCCCTTGATCTGCCACACATAAAAGTCAACCATAACAAACAAGAAACTTTGATTCTACAATTCAGAACTCGAATCGAATGGAATTGTTTATAAGCCTGCTTTTAGCAAACCTGCGAGACCCTGCAGATGTTGGGGAAGGAGCAGCAGAATTTGGATTTCCTTTTAGAGTTTCATTTATCTGTGAAGCTTTTTCTGCCATAACCATTTCACAGGATTCATTTGTTCCGGTTTCAGTTTCTATTCTTAATTCAGAAGAACCTGAATAAGAGAGATGACATCAAACTCTGAAGGAATAATCTCATGCAAAATGATTTAGAGCTATTGAAAGATCAAAAGAGATGGTTCAAAATTGAAAATCTATAAACAGACTTGCCATAATTTCTCCCATATTCGTTCATGCATCCTCCACATCTGCATCTAATGGAGCAACCAACTCCATTCTTCAAAAGGAAACAACCATCATCAGTAGTTCATACTATAACAAGAACATAGAAGCATTCAGGACACAAGATTAGAAAAAAACCTGGTAACATTCACAATATTTCTTTTGGCACCCAGATTTCTTGCAGTTGCATCCTCTTCTGTGTCTTGTTGAAGCTGGAGTTTTGTTTGGATCAGCCTGAACAGAAAAAAAAGGAAGGGGATTAATAAAATGTCACAAGTGATTAAATCTCAGTTATGAGCATATAGCTGAATTTAATTCTAACCCCAGTTTCAGGTAAAGAACCAGCATTTGTGATGACGACTTTGGGAGCAAATGCAAGAGGGTTACGAGACTCAATGTCCTTGCGAGTTTTAAGCACAATTTCTTCATGAATTGGCTTGTTGAAGCAGTTTCGACAGGAGCAAGATCCCACGCAGTAGACGCGAGAAGCAAAGCACTCGCAGTAACTGATACAGAAGATACAAAAGGAGAAAAGAAGAGTCAATTAAAAGCTAGTGAAGTTAAACAATCAGTGGTACATTCTTTTTGGGGGGTTGGGGGAGAATGGAAGTATCTGAACTTACAGCTTCAAGCAATTTGAGACCTTGCATTTGCAATGCTTGCAACCTTCACCTTCTTTAGCAGGCTCTGACTTACGCCTACAAACCCAACTTGGGATCAGGCTAGTGAAGGAATCCTCAGAAATAATCAGAAACATGTCTAATCAGTAATAGTGACACTTGCCTTTTCCTGTTGGAGCTATTTCGATTATAACCTTCACCAATAAATAGAGCTGTTGGTTGTGAATAATCTAATGCCGGCTGAGTCCAACCGTTTTGGGCATGCAGGTCTCTTTGGGGCATTCTATACATTGGTGATATTTGATCAAGCTGTTGGCTTGTAGAGACATGCAAGGAAGGAGATGAGTTGGATGGACTGATTTGTCTTGTGGGTGGCCATCTATTGTTCATAATACTGGAGTCTTTTAAGGGAGGTGGAACATCCAAGTGCGATTGGGTTCCCGGCAAAATGTGCATATGGGAATTAACATTAACGGTTGTAGGAATAAACCACTTATTATTAGGAACACTACACTTCAAACATTGTGATGTACTGGAATTATTCGGCATACGGTGATCTGCTGCGAAAAAAGGCTGATCACAAAAGACAAAAATATATTTAGAGCGACCATTCATTCAACACAGTTAACGACTAAAAACTTTAGAAGAAAAAAATTGCAAGTCTCACCCTTCATAAATCACAAACAAATAAAAAGAATCAAATGACATGTAACCCTCTGAACTGCTATGCTATGTAATTAAAATATAGTTGTATAATAATAAACTACAAACAATAGCAATTCACTATTTTACTAGAATTAAATACTCTAGTTCTAAATTCAAAAATATAATAATAAAGATGAAAATCGTTGATAATGAGGTTCATAAATGGGGATATTATTTAGTGGCATCAGGTTCTCATCCAGGACAAAAAGCTTAAAAGGAATAAAAAAGTGATTAAATAGAGTTGCGACTTATGGAAGATGAAATTGATAACTCTCTTAATTACTTACAACACAAGTATAGCTAAAATATATCAAACATCTATGCATTGAGAAAGTCTAAACATGTAACTCCATGGAGAAAAGATTATTCACCTACTCACCTCATTATCCATTCTCTCATTGAGGTTGCTAGCCATCACAGCCAAATTGAAAATATTGTCCTGCCTTTGCTCAGTTTCTGTGGCTGTTTTGACTATACTTTGATATTGTGAGTCAACAGTGTGCGAGTTCCTAAAGCTATTTTGTGGTAACGGAGGCATAAAAAAACCAGGTCTAATTATGGGACCCAATGATTTCTGGGTCAGACCCTCAAGAGTACCTGTCTCATTGGGAGTAAGACCCTCCCAATCACATCCTGGTCGTTCATTATTTTCTGATACTGGTGCAAATAATCCCCGGACAATGCTAGAAATTGTCTCGTCAGAACTAGGGCTCCCACAATCATACATTGAACCCTGTGGCATGTCAAGTGTACATTTTCTGCTTAATTGCTCAACCAAAGCATTCCCTTGATCAGTACTTTCCTGGAGCTCACTTGAGTCACGATGTGCAAGATCTGTGTATGAAACAGCTTCTTCGCCTGAACTTATTTGTAAGCCACGTTCAAATGAAACAGTTGGCTTTGGTGAATCCAGAAAAGGAGCGTGGCTATATATAAACGAAGTGGATCAAATTGTCAGAGTCGAATCAAAAGAGAGTTATCTTCAGTATGTAATTAATGAGGATATTACAATTGCAATGAACAGGGGAAAATCAAAATTACCTATGGAGGATTCCATGTTCCTTGCGATAGGAGACATGGGGGGATGTGAAAACAGATGGAGGGGAGCAAAAGATTGTGGAGCTTAATGCCTGATTTTGCTGAACAGGCTTATCTGGTTTTATTGGAGAAAGTCCATTCATATAGCTGAATACATACGAATCCTGCACATATTGGGACATGACTTAGAAATATCATCAGACTCAGATAATTAAAGGATGAGCCCATGTACCAAAGATTCTGTTGCACTTGAACAGAGAAAGAAATAAAAAAAGAAAAGAAAAGAAAAAGAAACTCAAGCATCAATGGCAACAAACCAGAACATACTTTCCAAATAATATTTATTAGATTGGTTTGTGTGTTTAAAATGAATTCTAAGGCTTAAAATACTATTTCAGGAACTTTGATGATGTGTGGCATGCTTTTTAGCTTATCTGACTTTTTGTTCAAAAACCACTTTAAGATTGAAGCAATTTTTTTAGGATTCAAACTTTTGGATTTCTTAGATCTTGAAACTTTTTAAACTGTCTTTTTAGTATATTATCTAAATAAGTTCAGTTCAAACATAAATTGTGCTACTTCTGGCCCTAATCATAAGACCTCGTTTATAGTCTATAAACGAGGTCTCATAATTAGGGCCGAAAATAGTATTATAGTAATTGATTTTTATTCCAATCTTCAGTTTACAAAAAGCAGTTGTGATAAAAGTAACTTTTTATCAGACGTTAATCTAAACAAACGCTTGAGCCATCCCACTTCAAAACAAAAAGTAGACTACATAGATTGACATCATAGGATTCTGTCCATCTCACAACCGAACCTATAAGAGAGTTTAAATTGATCTCCAAAATTGCAGGAGCCTCAATAGACGACAAGGACGTGACTTGTTGAGAAAGTTGAAAAGAGAGAAAACCACAGATAAAATAAAACAACGCTCTTTTCAACCCCAGAGAGAAAGCAACCAAAAAACTTTTAGATATTAAAAAAATCATGCAGGGACGACGGCGAGACCAAACACAGAAAACATGAGTTTAATATGGCGAAAGAGAAAAGAGGAAATAGTATATTAGAGTATACTAGTTTGATGAAGCTGACCTCAGTGTTAGAGAAAGGAGTGGCCATTAGGTTTGAATAATCTTGTGGCGCGTCCATGTCGAGCATGAGAGGGAATTGAGACTTCTCTTATCTGCGCCAAGGCTTTCGTCCTCCTCCTCCTCCGATAAAAAAGGGCGGGAGAATTATATTCACTAGGATCACAGACGCCGATCTTCTCTAATCCACCGTCTATTATTTGTTTTCTTTGGTGCCACATCCGCCTTTCTATTTCTGTTTACTTATTTTTTGACCTGAAGTTCAATATCTCTTTACTATATACATGATTTTTTTTTAATGTTCTAAATACTTGATATATACTTGATATGACTTTTTAGTGAATGATTTTTTTTTTGCCAACGTTAATCATTCGTTTTTACTAATTTAATTTTATATGCACTATATTTATCGTCTTACAAAAACTACAATATTAGTATATACATTCATGGTTGCTTTCTAAGGAGCTTGTTCATTAATTAATTACGCATAAAAATAACTATATATTCTTCTGGTCCTGTTTATAAGGCGTTTTCGGCATATTTCACACAGAGCAAAAAAAATTTTAAACTTCATTAACTCTTATTTAAAATTTAGTAACTTTTTAATTTTATCCTTATTTAATATATATTATACCTCATGTAAACAAAGTCAACACAATAATAAATGAGGGGTAAAATTGTACATCTATATAAAAAATTTCTCTCAGAACCCTATAAATAGAACCAAAGGTTATCTTCTTTCTCTGTCTTATAAATAGGACCAGAGAAGTATACTATTTTCAATTCTATTTATAAGACCTTGTTGTAAACTACACTTATAATTAAGATGGGAAGTAGCATTCAAGAACCTCACCTCAAATTCAGAGATAGGAAGAAATTTGTACAGAGTACTTGCCATTTGTAAAATCCTATTTTTAAATATATATTTTTGTTGCCTGGGCCTTTTTAAATATGTAGAGGAAAGGAGAGAGTGATGAAAGCAAACATAATTCGTGATTTTGCATTTATTATTTTAAAATTCTTTTATAAGCACTCCCTTGAAGGAAATGGAGTGAATTAAAGAGTTGAGAGAAAATTGAGAATATGAAAAGGAGTGAAATATGTAGAATGAAGATCTAATAAAATGAATTAAAATATGAAACGGACATAAGAGGGAATCGCCACTTTTGAAAGAAGGAAAGGGAATTAAGAATATTGAAAATAAAATTAAAAAGGTATTTAGATAGAAACCAAACAGTAATTTTAAAAATACTTTTACGGTATATAAAATAAATATATGAAGAAGTTTGTCTCGTTTTACGGAAAGTACTTTTCAAAAGCAATTTTTTTATGTTACCAAACACCCTCTAGGATTTTAGAATGCATGGGGTTGGAATGTAAGGTAGGTTGATTCTCTAATCAATCCGCCGGTAATTAAAATAATGGAAGAATGTTTATGCCGTAAATATAAAATCAAGGAAAAACAAAATGAAATAAAACTATTTCCTTTTTTAGGTGACCGATTGTTTTAAGTCATCAACGTTTAATTCTTGTTACCTGCATATTGGAATAATATACATAAATAGCAAATAATTACCAATAAAATAATTAAAAAATGAAATAAATCTAAAATTTTTCCAAATTGGCATCAATTATGCTCTCCAGCGCAAATATCTGGCAATTAAGCTCAAATGAACTAGAAAGCAAGGTACTGAAAACCGGCAATTGAATCGGTCAAGACAATGGGTCAAGAGTCAGTGGGTCAGACCGGAATCAAACCAGGGGTCAAACCGGGAGTCAAACTGGTGAGAAATAAAAAAATAAAAAAAATTTAAATTTCACTAAGAACTAGATATCAATTTAATATCTTAAATTACTAGTAAAATAATCATATCCTTACAATTTATTATAATATTATACTACTAAAATCACTAAATATTCATCCCAATAAAATATCAAAATAGATATATGATAACAAAATATTCCTCTCCATAAGTATTCAATCACTAAGTCCTAATTATCAACATCTTTTTAAAAAAATGATCAAAATTTTTTTTTTTTTTAAAAAGGGGGACCCGGGTTAACCCACCAAAACGGGTAGGTTACTCGGGTCATTACGAGTCACTGTAAACCCGGTTCACAGCCTCAACCAAACCGGTTTCTTGACTGGTTCACCGGTTTCTGGTCTGAACTGGCCGATCTGGTCTGGTTTTCAATACCATGCTAGAAAGTACGAGCCAATTAGAAGTCAAGACTAAGCAAGTATAACTATGAAAATATGGTGATTTATTAAAAATATTTTAGGGGCAAAAATGCTTTTTAACCCACAATCAATCTAAAATTAACGATCAACTGTCTGTCCTTAAGTCAAATGGCGATATTGCAATGATTCTGATGCTCATTAAGGATATCGATATTGTTCCAATAAATAATGTTGAATAAATAGTTTAGGCGCAAAAATACTTTTTCCCTTTAAAAGTTTTATAAAAATTTGGAGCAAAGGCATAGACTTAAAATTTTCTAATCGAAGTAAAACAAGTGTATCCAATAAAAATCTGCCAATTGTATTCATTCACTTATCTTGTGTTCTTGGCCTTTTGTTATAAAAGCCATATCATTGTTATACTTTGATTCTAGAAAAACCAATAAGAAATATTGATTTCTTGGATCATTACTTTTAATCAGTTGATTCAATTAAATTGTAACAAATATTCATGCGCTTAAACAATAAACTGAAAACTCTTGGAGTAAATTTGTTACTTTACTCTAAAAAAATTTTTATCTTCAAAAAATGTAACCCAAGAAATTCACATGTAAATATTAACATTTTATCTAATTACACATTTTATGCATTTTTCAGTTTTAAAGTATAAAAATAGTTGTAAATAATCTACTGGAAGTTGAGTTCAAATGTCACAAAAATGCAAGTCTTTTTGGGGCATTGTATACATTGATGATATTTGGAATTTTGAATAGAGGAAAGGAGCTGTTTTGGACTAACTAAGAACTTGTTTGGCTGGGCGTTTAGAAGTTCAAAAGTAGCTTATTTATGACCATACCCCTGATTGAAAAATTTGGACCTGTTTGTTTGAACTGTTAGGCTATCTGACTTATGACAAAAAAAGAAAAAAGAAATGCATGATTTCCATAAGCCAATATGAGAAGCTTTTGTTTTGGCTTCATTGTACTTATGACAGTTAAAATAATTATTATTTGTGTCAGAAACATAATTTTTCTCTCTCGTAACTTTTTGGTAATTTTACAAACTAAATTTATTTTTATTTAATCATAATCCAAATAATTTTTTACTCAATTTGATTTTTATAAACTAATTTCTATAAAATCTAATCCAAACACAATTTATATAATCTAATTTAACTTTTATTCAGTCTAATTTTTTTTAAAAGTCAAATTGATAATAAATTATCTTTTTAGTTGTTAATCCGAACGCACCCTAAGTGATATTGTGGGAGGCCATTTATTATTAATAATACTGGAGTCTTTTAAGATAGTGGACCATTCAAGTGTAATTGGGCTCCTGTCAAAATGTGCGTATGGGAATTGGCATCAAGTGTTGCAGGAATTAACCACCTATTATCAGAACAATACATATTTTTTTTCTACCAAGATTGTAACATTACACTTAAAACATTGTGATCTAGTGAAAATATTCGGCCAGCGTGATGTGCTGAGGGGAAAAAAAGAGAGCTGATCACAAAAAACAAAAATATAATAATAAAGATGAAAATATTTGATAATCATGCTTATAAAATGGAGCTAGTGACGTCAAGTTCTAAAGAATCAATTCAAGTGCTCATCGCAGTAATGAGCACCATGATGGTCATCGGATCTCAATTATTCAAATTTAATATGATACCCGCGATTTAATATTTAATATTTTTGTTTTTTAAAAAAATATTTTTTAATAGATACATAATCCAAAATAGATGTAATATCCTAACTATAAGTTTTTAAAAAAGGTGATTTTTTTTTATTTCAAAATCATCAGTTGAAAATTTTAATCTAGACCTATTAAAACTATACCTCAATGATTTAGATTTTTCCGGAGCAATAGTGTACCATTGTACTAGTTATCAAAAACTAATCAAGGACAAAAAGCTTGGAAAGAGAGAGAAATTAGTGACTAAATATTTGCGACTTTATGGAAGATGAAACTGATAACCCTCTTAATTGCTTACAACACAAGTGTAGTTAAAATATCATAAATCTGTATATGCGTTAAGAAAGTCTAAACATGTAACTCCATGCTGAAAAGATAACGCACATTATTCACTTTCTCACCTTATTATTCATTCTCTCATTGAGGTTGCCAGCGGTCACAGCCAAATTAAAAAGATTATTCTGCAATTGCCCCCCCTCTCTCTCTCTCTCTCTCTCTCTCAAGATTTGAAACATACTTTTAAGCTGTATATAATGCACATTTTCTTCTTTCGAGAATAGCTTCTCTCCTCCAACGGTTTAGACTTATGACTTTATAAGATTATTATTATTATTGGCCAAAAATATTATAATTTTATTTAAAAAACATAAAAATAAATTTCAACTGCTAAATTCTGATCTGAGCCATTCGCATAAGATTTTACCAATTCAAATTTATTTATGTACCTTTAAAATAAATAATAATAATAATAATTTTATAAACTGTTAAATCTAAAATACTAAAATTCAATCAATGAAAAAATGGAGTAGGGGAAGGGTAGTTGAGGAGGATATAAAAGAGAAGTTCCTCCCATTTTTCTTTCCTCCCCAACCAAAAGTTAGTCAAGAGCTGCCTCCTTTCAAACTATACGGAGAGATTACTGTAATGATCTTATTAATTATGTATATTTATTTTTAGTAATTAGCATAGAAATGAAAAATTAGAAATCAATAATAATAAATCTAGCAGAAAGAGTTAGTTTATTACAATATAATCAGTTAAGATTTGAATTTCTATTAAAAGAGAAATATTCGACCTTTTAAAAAAAAAGATATATGTTTTTAATAAAAAATAAAAATCAGAGACATATACATGTATGCGTGTTTACATTTTATAAATTATTTCCTGTGATTCTAAATATA